AGCCCTTGTAGATTGTCAAGAACGTAGAAATTGAAGGAAATGTTGGTTGCAGAAACTTTGAACGGATGTAGACAATATTGTGCATAATAAAAGATATATAGAAATAAATATATAAAAACTATACGCGAAATAGTGTAATACCTGTTCTTATACTTTTTAAAATATTTACTTATATATATTTTTATTTACAGCTACACACTATTATTATTAATTAATTATTATACACTATTATTATTAATTAATTAATTATTATTAATTAATTTTTATTTTTTCTATTCATTATTATATTTTTGGTATTATTATATTTATGGAGATCAGGCTTAAAGAAGCTTTGTTAACTTCGATAAAAGAGCGAGAAGAGATGTGAGGGAGATGAAGCAAGTCTAAGAAAAGCGGATGATTAGGGACCGTTGTGCCGACCCTTAGTCTGCCTTATTGCTAGTACTCGGTTTCTACAATGACGGAGCTCCTCGTACCTTGAGCGAGTTTTGCTCTCTTTGAGCAACCTGCTGGACCCTTCGTGACCCTCCAAAGGACTGCAAACGACAAAAAGACTCGTAGTCCTTCGATAGCCGTTTCTATCCGATCGAGTCGAAATACATCGAAGGAATCGAGGGACATGCGGTTTTCTTAAATAAAGACGAAAGACTGCAAACATTTCATTTTGTAATCTTTAAATCATGTCTTATATCTTTAATTCTTTAAAACTCAAAGATACACTCTCATTTATTCTGATTCATTACGATTATAATTACGATTATAATTCATTAAGCAAACTCTTTTTTCGTAACTATCAATCATAATGCAACGAATTCCATTAGTATCTCTCGAGGAAACCTGTCACACGAAGAAACGTGATGGAAAGATTCCGATGATAAATTCCAAGGTCGAAGGATTTCTTTATATGGGTCTTCCTTATCGTCGCCTCCTATTCTCGGTTATCCACGATATGTCAGGATTCAAGATTTTTGTTCGTTCGCGCTTCATCGCTTTCGCGAAGATATCGACGGATTTTTCAACTCGTCATCGCTAGATTGCCTCCGGCGTCGTCTAACATAACGAACGAAGACCAAAAAAGATATCGAAAAAAAGAGCGACGAGTACATTTGGAAAATATACGTGATGAAGAAAATTGGATCGTCGCACACTGTATATTGCTATTGGACGTAGCCCTAAGTGAACTCGTTCTTGCGTTCCATTAAAGATAAGTTCGTGAAACTTTAATCAGTACGTGACACTTTCACGTTATCCCGTGATGTTAGAGCAAACATAGATTATCGTAACGCGGAAAATGAGAAGAGCGACTCCCCAAGGACTCATTGTACGCACTTTCGCTCATCGTCAATCATAGTTAACTCTGTCCATCGATCTTCAGTTCTCTTGATGATGTTTTTCACGGTCTGATTGTTTTAGATGGGCGAAGAAGATGACGATTTTCTCTCGATATTTTTAAAAAATACATTGAAGAAGTTAATAAAGTTAAGTTAAAGAATTAAATTGATATATAGGCGAGCGTCCAATTAATGTGAATTTACGGATGTATGCGTACCAGTGTTCTTTCAACTCGATTAGAAACATTGGAAGGGAACAATGCGGATATTTGCTAACTGAGATGCAAATTCGATCTAGAAACGTTTGCCGACAAGCATTTAGGGATTCTGTAGAAGCATCAGCACCGGGACCCTTAACTATTCAAGTCGTAACCCTTCCCAGTTAGGGTTAATTATGTCATTGTGATCGATCTGTTTGCACAATTCACGTGCGTTACGCTGCGCTGCGATTTAATGGTACTTTGAATATAATCGAGCGTATCATATTGCAAATATTGATATTATACCATTTCAATTCATTCTTTATACCGTAAAACGCCTGCATTCTTATACAAATAAAATATTTTGCTTTTACAATAAAATTAATGATCGCAACTACATGTGAAATTCTCTTTCTCTCTATCTCTCTTTCTCTACAAAGGATATATGAAATATTTAATAAAGTGAATTAACGCAGTTAGCAAGTTTCATAGGCATACGTTGCAAACTGCTAACAGGAATGTCGAGGTTCCGTGAAATAAACATTCCGTTCATAGTTGAAGTTCGGAGCACAATCGTTAATATCGCTTTCTATTACCATAGTTCGGATTACCATTATTATCAAGGCGAAAGCATTCGCCCATTATGCAAGAATATTGATTAGATTGCTGGATACTGCACGCCACTTAAAAGGTTTATAGATTATGATTATTACTATTAAGAAAGATGTAACAATGCATCCCTCGAGTATTACTGCAATTGCAATCTTATCGTCAAGATTTCTATTCCTTTCCTGACAATTTGGTCGCAATCTTCTGTATACGCATATCGAATAGGAAAGATTTAACGCTCGCAGCCGAGCGTCGTGCGCGTTGTACGAAAAAAAATGAAACGTAATGTTCGAGAATGACCAGGCTGAAAGTCGCAGGCAAATCGCAAGAGCGAAGGGCCGATCTGCTCCCCGCGGGGCAAATTTCCGATTTATTCAAGCTCGCTCCCGAATACTTGGGAGCCCATAAAGAGAATGAATGGGATTGTGGCGGTCGCCGCAATGCTCAGGGCTGCTTTAGGGGTTCATGAAATACGCGCTTGTCGCCCTCTCTCTCTCTCTCTTCATCTGTCATTTTCTCTCTCTCTGTCTCTCTCCTCATCTTTCACTTTCTCTCTCTCTCTCGATACTTCTCTGTTCCTCCCTATCCTCCTACTCACGCTGTCGCGCTCGGCTCCCCCTTTTCGCTTGTCCCCCATTGCGCTCTTTACCCCCTCCCGGCTCTTCGCGAATCGAAACTCCTCTCTGCAGGGTGGCCAGCGGTATTACCATGAATTTACATAGCCTCGCTTCGAACTCTGAACATATTGCGCCGCTTTGATTTATGCGAAACATTTGCTAAATATTCCGGCTTAATCTCGGCCACGCGAAATGCCGTTCGCGGGAGAGCGCGAACTTGTGCTCGCTTACGCGTAATGAGGGGTAAACGAGGTGTTTCGTCAGGACCACGGTAAGCAGAAGGAACGCAATAGGCACTTTATAAATGTCAGATCATGGAGGAGAGAGCTCGACGGGGAGAGCTTTTCAACCACCTTGCTCAATAACAAGCATGTTGGAAAATTCACGCGGCGTCCAAGATTTACGGGAAAACAAATCATTTCAGGAGACATCGGGGATCGCGGGGAAATCTATTTCGGCGAACTTTAAGGATTACGCTTCTCGTGATTTATGGCCGTATCGGCTAGGTGTGTACGAACCACGCATCACATTTTGATGCGAGATTCATGAATAACTCATAGACTTGATGGAATAAAAGTTATATCGAGTTAAAAAAAGTCTTTCTTTATCAAGCTAACATTCGCATTGTTGGTTAAAATTTACAAATTTAATATAGAAATTTATAGGATGACGATATACTAACGATGTACTGAAGAAGCTTGAGAATGAAACAGTGAAACACGATCCTTAGCTGCAGACATTGGCGGTTTTCTCGAATGTACCTTACTGAGCCTAGTTCGCAATTGGCTTCTCATAGTAACGATAGATTCACGACTGCAGTTCAGTCTGTGGGACTCGCCCTGAAGCCGGTAAAGTACGTATAATTATACCGCTCAGCTTCTTCAATTACACGACTTAACGATGCGACGACGATCGAATGGCCACCCATTTTATAAACACAATCGCCTTGAATTACTTGCCAGCAATCTTGTCGTTCCAGCTGACTATGTCCCCTGTAATTCTTACTGTCAACTCGACGATTGGTGGAGAATGTTGAACAGTTCTGTAACACAGGAAAATTTTAAAGACAAAGAATTACTCTCTACAACCGTATCGTACAATAAAAGTAACTCGCCAGTTTATCTCGCGTATTTCGCAATACTACGAATCGATTTTTCCACCCTCTATGCCGTTTTCTCTTTGTTAAGTCTCGGCTGCATCATTTCCCGATGCGTGGCTATTTCCGCTTTTCCGTGAACCGGTCGTGCCTCATCCCAACTCGGTTGTCCTTCGACCGTTCATATCTCTTCTTTTTTTTTGTTTCGATTCCCACTTCACATATTCATACGGTGCTCTCTTTTCTCACAATAAATGCCGACCATTTGCATGTAGGGAGTAAAATTCCCTTCGAAGGGGCGAGCGCCGCGCGTCCCCGTGGGCTTCACCTACCCACCTCCTACCCCTCTCGCGCGATAAGCCGTCGCTAGGGATCCGCGATTGTCTCGATTTATATGCATGTACAGACGTAGGTGGTAGGTCGTGTATCGGTGGGACGAGGATATCCACGCATCGATAAATCGATCCTCCGGCAGACGGTAAATATCGCTGATGAGCTGGTCCAGTCAGCGTCGACAGGGATTTGAGAACGTGGAGGAGATTCGGGATGCTTACTCTGCGATTTGTCGAGCGACAGAAATTCTTCGTTCTCTCGATTCCAGATATCTCCCCATGAATTTTTATCCGCTGGTCGCTCTTCACTTTTTTTTGAGCAACATTTTGCGTATTTTCCCGTCCTTAGACGGAAACGACGCGTGCTTCGGTAACATCGAGGGTAACTAGCGGGGATAACAACTGGCTTGCTTAGTCCCGAGTCTCGAGAATTCAAATGAAGATAATTTGTTTCTACCCGTTGAAACACCGAGTATTATGAGGATATAATAATTTAATATTGTCATGCTATAATGAAATGTAAATTCAACATCAATTATATAAAGGCTCTTTATATAACGATTAAACGAGAGATCAAAATCGACTCTTATATAACCCTGCGCTGTAGAAGACTTAAAGAGTGGATAAAGTTTTTCAGTTATCAAAGTTCATGTCATTTGATGAAAGTTATTTCTTACAACTTTGAAACTCTATTAAAGATAGGGACACGAAGAGCGACAAAAGTTAGAGAGAATTCTCTCATCTAATGGAACAGTTAATGGGAAATGATAATAAGTGAGCACGATATATATCGTTTCTTTCGTTTGTACTTGCAGGTATCATTGTGCGATGATTATAGTTTACCCGTCGACTTTGTGAACAAGAGACGTCCTGCAAGCGCCGCAGCTGCAACTTCCACAGTGCAATGGACGCTGCCAAGTCCGACTGTAGAGAATGTAAGTATCGATTAAATAATTTAATATTTTTACATTTAAATCTGTCACTAAAGCAAATACTAGTTTACTCATTTTTGTAAACATGAGATAATTAGAAAGATGCTTTGGCTACAGCAAAAAATTTATCAAATTTAATTTGTTTATTGCAATTCGATACTATTTTATCATCCTTTACACTATATGTGTATATATATATTATAATTATGTGGAAATAATGGCGTATATTGCGTGATTAAAGACATTGGGAGGTGATCATGTATAACTTTCATGCAACTTTAACGCTTTTATGTGTACGGCGTTATTATATTGTGGCAAAATGAAACTTTATTCACCGCAATTGTGCGTTTATCTGCATTCACAGTTCAATGAATTCTGCGTTAAGCAAACACATTGCCATTATATGTTCACGCGTTCCCTGTCTCTCGTCCGAAAAGTTTAACGATATTTTGCGCACCCACGACGTGCAGTAAATCAAAAAGATCAGAGAGTTAGTTCTGCTGAAAAAATATAAATCTTCAAATAATTTTTACATATCTATACGAAATATATAATAATATTATACATAACATATATATTTTAATTTTATAATATCAATAATATTATAAAATTAAAATATATATATTATATGTATTATATATAATTATGTCGATCAAATTTAGTTAATCAATATTAATGTTAAAAATTCGCAAAAAGTTACAAAAATGCTTATATTGAGTCTAAATAAATAAATTTTATCCTCGTAAAAAAAGTGTGTGTTACACGCAATAACCATTTCGTTCGTTTCATCTTCGGCACACATCATGTAGGAACGACGTCATTTCCTGTGACTGTGGCCCGAGTCATTTTGCCTGTTAACGATAGTATTGATATTTTCACAACGCCGGGGAATCAGTCGAAGGGAGAGAAATATAATTACAGTGGTGACAAAATACCCCCCGGCTACGGGCGCGGAGAATATCGCGGGGGCAGAAGAGGGTGAAAAGTGTCAGAGGGTGTGAGAGAGGTGGGAACAACGGGCACAAACGGAACGACGAGCTTCGGTGACAGAGTGCTGAAACCGGTGACTTCCGGCGTTGCTTATAATTGCTCCGGCACTCAGTTTCTGGTGCCTGGGATTGCCTAGGGCATTTCACCTAAACACTTTGCCAGTGGGTTTACAGCTCCGTCTTCCCGCATTTTGCGGTTACCTCGAAAGTACGCTCGAAATATCATGTCTCGCTTTTAAACCATCTTCTCACGCGGGAACTTGTGTTGCAATCGATAAAAATGGATGCATTTAACGATTGTGCATTGCAATTAGTTACTTTTGGTATTTAATATATTACTTTTAATTACTCGTATATTTATGCAATAATTATTTCATTATTTTTGCAGTAATTAACAAAGATTATTTTAAAGAATATCTAAGCAATTACATAAGCAATTGTATATAGCATATATATATATATATATATATATATATATATATATATATATTCTTAATATTTTTGATTACATTTTTTCTTTCTTCTAAATAAGTTTTACCGAAATTTTTAAAACTATTTTTCAATAATACTCGATATAGAGAAATCAGTTTTTTTTTATTTTTCCAAACCTCATTTTGAAAGTACTAAATAAGATTTTTATAAAGATATTTTTTGAAACAATTTTTATTATAGCAGCTATATTTTATTTCATGTATTTTTGTTTTTTTCCACTTTTTTACATTTGACATGTTGGTTCGTGAAAAATTTAATTTGCTACCCTCAACTCGGCGCCTGATTATTATACGAATAAACGGAAATGTGGCTGTGCCACGCGAGAAGTTCATAAAAGAAAGAGGAAGAAATGTTGTAGCGAGGGGACGACACCTGAGTGTGCCGAACAAAAGTTTTCTGCGCCTCATTGTCACCGACAACCTCCCCGCGAAAAGTCCGCGAACGTCGCGAAGGGCGAGGTGACAAAGACAGAGAGTGGATGCCACTTGACTCAGAGAGGGTGAATCGTTATGAGTCCCGCTTGTAAACCCTACTTAATACTTTAGCGCTTTATGTTATGCGTGAGATCAGGCACCGGTGTGTTGCTCACATTTATCACTATAACAAAGAGCTTTAGTGCAACTTTGGTAGACGTGCAAAACTTTAAACTCTGTCGTTCTTTTCAGCGATTCCGTAAGACTTTGTTTGTGATTTGCGACACTTTTGATCACATTTTAGTTATCAAAAGCTCGATTTATTTGGTTCGTAAATTTAGAGCAACGAGCATTGGCGGAATGCCAGATGCCAGGAGGAATTCCTTGCCATTTGTACCAAGTCGACTTACCGAAGCGGCGATTAACTTACGGCGAATGAAATTACATCGAAAAGTGGAAGTAATTAATTCCCGACCGATGCAGAGGGAAGCGTCTGACTGTGACTCTTAGAATTCCGGAAAAAAATTGATTCCGTACGAGAGAGAAAGAGAAAGCTACGGCTTTCATGCCGATATTTCTCTGAGAGTGAAAGTGATTGATATTCCTGTGCTACTTAAAAGTACTTTTACGTTCGCCTTATCTTACAGCGTTCATTTTTCTTGCAACCCTATTTCATTTAACGCCATTATCTGCATAATGTTAATGATATCCTTAAAGTATCGCCGATATTATGGAAAAATAATACTGCTGATTTTTTTTTAAATTAAGGGAGGTCGACATCGTAAATGTGACATTTTCTTGGAAAGTGCTATTCTGTGTAACGGTATTATTTATGTTATGAACTGTATATTCGCCATTAATATAGTTCGACGTTCTACAAGGCCGCAATGAACATTAGTATCTGTATCTTAATGGAATTTTTTGATACGTTATTTTAAAAATATGATGTTTTATTTCCTAATAATTAAATTCTGAAAAATGATATAAAAGATAAAATGTATCTATTCCTAATATCCCATTTTAAAATATAATATTAACAGCATACGTACGTTAAAATTGCAATAAAAGTCATAAAATATAATAAAATCAGTCAATTAGGCCGGATGAAAATTATACCTAATTATAATACGGTGACCAAACAATCGGATTAAAGCCCTCGATAAATCGAGCGATATTAACGAGCGAACATGAACGAGTGTGATTCGTATTGTTTACACATTCAATAACATTGTGTTCAACAGATGACGTTTTAAGTAATTAAACACACAAAAAGTTTAAACAATTTGGAACACCTTGTATATTTATTATTTTTCATCGTCTCTCTCACCAATGCGCGAAACAGCTTCACGGATTTATTTTACCCGCTTAACAAGGCATTGCTATAAATCCGCATATTTTCACTCGCCGAATTAAACGGCAATTCGTCGCCGGCATTGCCGATAATCCCGCGTAATCGTTTTCGCAACCATCGGCGCGAATTTGTTGGCAGACGTGCGAAAAGTCGAGTCAGCCCCGTTCGTCATCAGATTTGCGACAGCCGATCGAACGGCCTTCAACCGCGCCTGCGATTCGTCCCCGTAATTTCCGTATAAATGCATAAACGTGCCCACAAAATTTATTCGTTCCACGAAGGAGAAATCCCGCGATGGAAGAGGAGAGAAGAGCGGGCCGGTAGATAAGGTGGTTGAAAGCAATCGACTTCGTCTTCGAAACAGCCCCTGGAGGCACAGCGCCCAACTTTGGCAGGAGAATTCCAATTTTGGGCGTCTTTCAATTTAAGACTACTTACTTGTCTTCCCCACCGTCGCCTTCTTGTCCGTCTTGCATCACTGAGATGTCTGCTCGTTCCGCGTTGCCGAATTTCCTCCTTGCTTCCTCTCTTTTTTTCCGTTACGATCCCGATTATCGATACAACATTGAATGTGAGATCGAGAAAGAGGAAAGACGCTTTCATTGATTCCTCCTCTTTGTTCAGAGCGTCAAAGAGATGTGTTTCCTTCTCTGTCATCTCGTGCTCTTCATTATTTGTTATTTAGAATACAAAGAAAGATTTATTATCTTTATTATAATTATTATGGTTAATATCGATGAGGCATGAAAAAAATAGCAAAATTGCAATAAAATTGAATGCACTTCCGCAGAAAATATAAGGAAACCTTTCTTCGCTTGTCCGATAATAATCGATTGAATTTAAAGAGAGGAAAATTCACTTTTTCCTGTTTCTTCGAATTAAGATTGTTGAAACAAACGGGACGTGTAATCATGTATTCAGAAATATAAACAGGTTTAATTTCTGTACAAGGGATATTAATGTAGCCATCTGGCCGATTATTTGGAAACTGCGTTTAATCCACCGGGTACACACACATGACAGCGGAAATGAATTGGTCGCCACAGTTGTTTTCTCTCGAAATAACGATCATCATTTAAGGGACGACTGGAAGCATTTCTGCGTCAAAATATTGCTGTAATTGGCTGCGATTCAGGTTCAGAAAACGGTATTAAACTAACATTACTGCATTGAAACTAGGTGCCGATAACAGAAAACCCTTGCCCTTCCAGAAAACATTCCTCTTCGAGACGAAGTTGAGTGTTATGCTAAAACGTCGAGAAAATCGTGCCATCAAATTAACATTATTAAGATCAATAATGCATATACGTTTATTCAGTGTCACTATATATATCAATAACAAGAACGTCACATTTAATGAAAGCGCTAGATCGAACATGATTTCAAACACAAAAATATGTGCCGGATGTACCCTTTGACTGGTAAAGGAAGGAAATAATTTGTGCTCTGTTTGCAGGCGGAAGTTGAGGTTGTGGAACAATACAGCGACCCTAGAGACAGCAAGAGCAAAGCGTACATCGAACCGGGAGCGGAGTCGTCCCTGCCGACGATTTACAGCAGAGCAAATCGCAACTATTGTCGACCTTACACAGGTAACTTTATCCCTTGAGTCAACATCGGACATAATAATACAAGAATATAATTCTAGTTAAGTCGCAACAACTGTTATGCGTTCAGTGAGACATAAAAATAGCAACTTTTTGTTTTAAAAAACAAAAAATTAAGAAATATGTAAGAATACATATATTTTAAATTTTAGGATATTCATGAATCTTTGAAGAAAATTATAAATTAACATTTATAAAATTATATTTTCATTAATATGTAATTTATAGCAGTTATTTTGCCCAATAGCTAAACTAATTAATTAATGTTAATTATTTGTATACAAAAGTCATGTTTGATCCCACTAAATAAACTCTTATAGCGATGCATTTTGGGCATTTCGTTTCATATGTTTGCAATAAAAATATATTAATGCAAGTTATTTTGTAAATTTATTATTCTGGCTTTTATTTAAAAGGTCAAAGGCGTATGAATTTTTTCAGATTTTTTGAACATTTTTACCTTTTGAAAAACGTTCCAGACAAATTTATTATTCTAGCCTTTATTTAAAAGGATCAAAGAAAGCATATAAATTTTTTCAGATTTTTTGAACATTTTTACCCTTTGAAAAACGTTCCGACATAAATGACTCCCCCATTTTAAAGGTATTAAAAATAACAATACCGTTGGGGTAATATCAATAAATACTAATTGAAATATATTGACAATGTTTGATGCACGAATCATAATTTCGCAGTATTTAATATATCGGTGATATTATATAGATTGATTATTGATGATATGCGATAAGTTTCGGAATAATGCAGTTAAGCGGAAATTCTCTGCCAAGCCGCAAATTAATGTGGCGAGCCCCCGATGTTATCCGCCAATACTACGACGTACGAATTATCGAGGTAACAACTCAGTTAGCGCCAGTTAAGAGAGGGAGAAGAGCCCCTCGATAATTGAACGGTACGCACAGGTTGGTCGCGAGTGGCTAACGGATTAATCGACGGGATCGGGCGAAATAGGGGATCATCTCTTTTTCGCGGTAGATGATACTCATCGATTTGGGAAATTGCAAAACCGGCCGGGCGGACCCACACGCGGATTAGAATCTTTCGTCCTCCTGCGTCTGAGGAGCGAATGAAATTCAGAGATACCGACATCGGAGTTGCGGATTAAATTCCTCCTCGCGAAGGAATGTTGCGGCTCGTGATTAACCCTACGCTTGGTTTGTCTCGCGTATACGATTCGAGAGAATCTGAATCTGATTCGTGACCCACGTGGCACGTCACCATGTATTCTGGCACTCGAGTATGCAGATTGCCGTGTAATACTGATCCCGAGTAAACACCGGTGGAATTTGCACCCTTACCATATTCATGAGGTTTTAATTCAGGAGTTAGCATGTGGATGTGGCAAGAATCAAACATGTCGGAGAAGCGTAAAGGTTTACTTTTTCTTCTCGATAAGTTGGAGGAATCATATGATCCTCTTTCCCCTTTCTTATCCTTTTCTATATAATAATTTCAGCGTGATAATTTTATTACGCGCGTTACTTAAATATATTATGCGCGTTATTGCATTCCTTTATATTTATCAAACAAGGAGAATAATTCTCTTAACTTCCTTTGTCACGGAATATTCGTTCTATACATCGTATCTTTCAGTCGACTCGCGTCGAAATCTCCGCAGTCAGGCTTTCGGCAGGGACATTATGAGATTAAAAAGTAAATTGTCGTCCGCGCGCCGTTCGAGGAATGCCGTTCCTTTCGCGAGAATTGAATCAGCAGTCGCGTCGATGCCGGGGGTGAATATAAGAGAAGCGCGAGGGTCGCCGAATGGAATTTTCAGACTGGCCGCTTTATAAAAGGGTACCGATGACGCTGAAGCGTCAGGACGGCTCGCCGCCCTCCGTTAACTTCCGGCGGTAGCCGCGTCCTGCGTTGCTGTCTGTTACTACTGCGAGGCGCTCATTCGCTCGTTGACACGAACTTTTCGGTCTCGCGGTGTGTGTCGTCGACGTTCCCGCTTGCCATCGACACCACACACGCGGTGTCCCCTCCCTCCCTATAATATGTCGTGTGATATTTAATTAAACTTCCCATCCCTACTCTCGTCGCCGAACCTCCCGTTGTACCACCCGCCCATTCTCTCTCATTCCGCTTTCATAGTTCGTAAAGTTTCAAGGGGTATTTCAGTCCTCCCTCCCGCATTTCCCAGCGCCGCTCCACTTATTAACCGTGTTTTAATCAGACCTCTCGACAGATTTTTTCAGAGTACACGCTTTGCCGTGTATTAAATTAAAATACAGTCGATTACCGTTAGAAGAATCTTTCCGCCGAATAGAATTGCAAGTTTTTAAACAGCAATTTACATTAAATTGCTAGAAATATAAGTTTAAAAGTAAGTCGCAACATTCTGTTTTTTTTAAATCAATGTTTATTAAATTTTATGGAAATATAGTCATACCACACAATTTTAATCATGTTTAATATCGCACGAGTGTTACTGTTACTGAAAGAACTTTCGGGCTCCTCGTTTGTTCGTGCAACCCCTCTTCAAAGTTACCCTCATTTCAATTACTGGTACCAGGTGACTTGTAGCTCGTTCCGCGTCCCCGAGCAGTTAACGCCCGTGCGGGTTCATCGTATGCAAATGTCAAGCCGTCCGTCGGTTTGTCCTTCGTCCGAGCGGGAGAAGGCGGGTCCAGTGTTCATCAAACGTTGGTCAGAAACTGTCAGTGTTAGCGCAAATTTATACGCGTCCAGCGAAGTGCTGGGTTAAAGCCGAAGGCTTTCCAGTGTAATGCCCTCTGATTCAACTGTCCGATTGCGCACAATAAATGCATATTCATAATAGCTAAATACATTCGAGAATATCCGATTTCTGTAACGTTTATGATACTCAACTTCGCATGTGTAAGTGACCCGAAAGTTTGTTTGATCGCCATGAAGATGAATAGTCAACAAGACCCTTCTCTGTCGTAGTCTCCGATCTACTATCCTCGATTATTCCTTCTTGCTCTCTGTCTCTGTCTCTGTCTGCCCTCCCCCTCTCTCTCTCTCTCTCTTTCTTTCTCTGTCTTCTTCTCTTCCTACCCTTCATTTTCCCTTCCACCATGCTTCGAAATGCGCCGCACTCTATCCCTCACTTTCTCGCGTCGTAAACTAGATCATTTACAAACTGTCAACGACATGGTTCCGACTCATCCGACGCAAGTACGTGTGCTCGTATCTCAAGGCGAGATCTTAATCCCCCCGCGCAATTTCGTAAGCTGAAATCGTGTATTACTATGGATGAAATGGAAAGTTTTTTTTAACATATAGCTGCAACGACATGCCCCGTAATGTCAAAATTAGTTGAATTGAACAAAGCTTTTGATTTTACTACATACATTTTATCTTAATCATTCACGAAAACTTTATAAGTATGTTATTAAATTTCGTAAATATATTTCGTAAATATATTATCGAGTTTCGTAAATATGTTATCGATAAATATGTTTTCGGATTGCTCGATTTATTACGTTCTATTCTCTTATACACATAAATGAATTAGTGTAGTCATTTCGTTTTATATATCATTTCGTTTCGTTTATTGTATAACTGAATTCCTATAAATTCCTACTGTTTTTGCTTTCTCTCTAGCAATTAGCTTTTTGGAATTTTCATGCTGAAAAAACGCGAATAAAATGATTAACGAGATTTGAATAATACTTTTTCTTTGTTTTCATATAAAAAAAAATTCTATAAAACTATTATAATTAATAATTATCTATAAAACTTCTCTTTATGTATCACAAAAAATAAGTGGATTAAGCATTATAATATTGTAATTTGTAATATTCTCAATTTAATATAAAATTTTTAAATAATTTTTAAATTTGTAGCTTTAACGTTCAATACTTGCTCCAGACTCTCGTAAAGGGCAAAGATCGCTACTAAAGCTACGAAGCAAACCCTTCGTCGAGGAGGGAGCCCTTGAATTCATTTCATGGGCAATTGCAATTAGCATTTATGTCGGGATTTGCATATCGTTGCGAGACAATTTCGCGCGCGCTTAGGCTAATCTTTGTGTCAGATGCTCTCCCGTAGCGCAAGAAGCGTTCATAGTTACTGAAGATCGCTTATCTCACCGGTATAAACTACCTAAATTTCTGGTGAAATTCGTGACTTCTGAGATAATGCTTAGCGTATTACGTAATGAGAAAGATATAATATACACATAAGCAGAATTTAGAGATTACAATATTTAAAATCGATATATAACTAAAATGTTACGAAAGATTATTACTTTTTGTAATTTTTAACTTTAAAATGTTTGTAGCAATTAAATAAAATGTTTGTAAATATAAAATAAACTTATAAATGTGAAATGAAAATACAAATCCTGATTGAAATTGCATTACATACGATGTTAAAATAAAAACTCGGATTTCTCGTTAACTCGGTGATTCGATGCGCGGTGAGCAACGGAACGTAAGATTGAATTCGAAAGCGAAAGTAAACTCGCGACACACGATTAATTCGAAGAGTCCATAAAGGGTGCAGAGATAGACGCAGTCGGACGAACACTTGAAATCAGCGGCCAGGTTTTGGACACGTTCGAAAATCCTCTCGGTTTACCTATGTCGGGTTGCGTCCCTTTCCGCCGCAACGATCATGCCCACGTGTGACCACCAACGTAGATTTCAATTGCGCAATGTCTACCGATAGGGAAGTAGCGAATAATCCACGTCGTTCTCCTCCCTCTGCTGTGAGCGACAGCTTTGAGCTGCATCATTGTACACCCTCTCTTTTTGCTGTCGCAAAACCCTTTCCAATGATTTCAAGCATTGATTTTATTGCCAATAAAATCAATCAAAGTCAACAGCGTTGCATTTGCATAGTCGCCTTTAACAAGAAGCGAAATCACTATCGAGGATCAGTCGAAGCGCGGGATTTAGGATTGCGCGTTTTTTGCGTATTCGTCGAGTAAGTGCGATTTCTATCACGCTGTTCTAGGACTATTGGATGATATTTCAAGATTGGATTTTCGATCA